ATCTACTTTACCGATCTCACTTTGCGTAATTTAGATCGTACAGTTATACAGTCAAATAACGTTTGTAAAAATAACATTGTCATTTGTTAGGATCGCAAAGCAGCCGGCAGACTTTATTTCTTCTCGTTACATTTTGATAACTCGATGAAAAGAAGGAAAAGGAACTTTGTCATCCGAGAGAGGGAATTGCATTTTTTCCGCTGAGAGCTTTACCTGTAATCCGTATCTCCGCTGCGATGATTATTCCATGACGAAAAAGAAAGTTTTCGCTGCCGGAATGTAAGAGGATAAAGAGAATGGGTTCTGCCTCTGAAAATGGCCAGACACTCTCTCGCGACTTTAATCCCGTAGACGAAATTTCTTTGTTCTTTTCCTCATTCGAAGAAATTCACTCGCGTGAATGAATCCATAATCCATGACGTTTCTCCAATTCCACCGTCGTGCGAACAACAAGACACGGTCGAAATAACCAATGAAAGAAATAACAAAGTTACATTACACAGCGAACGAACAGCTAGTCGTCTGCGAACACTTTCATTCAGAAATCACGGCCGTGAAACAGTTGCACGTGTGTGGAAATGGAAACGAGAGACCTTAACTTTCGCCTGGATGAAAGTCCAGATTCCATTCAACTGGAAACGGGTCTCTGGACGATCATTGAGACGAGACGAGACGAGACGAGACGAGACGAGACGAGGCAATCTCGCCTCGGTTGATGGATTCTCACGTGGGAACCGTGTTTTTCGATTTGCCCCTTTGCCAGGCAGCGAATCTGTTCTTCGCGGCTGCTTTCCTGGTGCCGCGTTCTTTCAAGGCGTCAGTACTGGCGCTGCGCACCTTTCTCACGGCCGGCTTCATGCTGGCTGCTCTCTGGGCCGGCATCACCATATGCGCCCTGGACGCGATGCTATGGTGTCTGGCACTCGGCCTGCTCAACGGCATCCACTCGCTCATACTGGCCTGCCGATTTCTCCCTCCGGCGCTCAGCCCCGAGCTCGCCGAGCTCTATCTCAAACTCTTCAAGCCGTACAAGGTCAGCAAGAAACACTTCCAGGAGTTGGCCAAGGAGGCGAGGATACTGAAGCTGGACTCAGGTCAGACGTACGCGACCGAAGGTGTCACACCCGCCGACGAACGACTGTCGATACTGTTGCGCGGCAAGTGAGTATTATTTACGCCCCCGTTGTCGCGCTCTGAAATTTTCTTCTTTTTCTTTTTCTTCTCTTTCGAGTCATCGAAGCTTAAAAACTCGAGTCTTCGGGTGAATTCGAAATAATAGTGAGTGCTCGCTAATATCTTTTGGCATAAGTGAAACGTATGCCAAACGAAGGATTTTACATAAATGTTTACGCATGTGTGACATCTGAGATCTAGGTAAAAGTGCCAATGAACATAAGCTTCATCTTCAAATATAATAACATGTTACATTTTAAATACGACATTTACGCTTTCACATGACAAATATAAAAAAAAATAATATTTTAACAGGAAGAATTAAAGGAAATTTTAATTTCGTGAAAAATATTGCAAACATAAAAAAATTGTTATACTAAACCGCACAACTGTGTCATCTTCTTTTACTCTTGTTTACCATTTCCGAGAAAAACGCTCGATAAAAATAACGCGAACATTTTATTTTGTATATTTTATATCATAGAATGATCAACCACATCACAAAGAATGACGCTTTCTGAACGAATTACTGTGTCATGCATAAGTGATGCATGATTGCAAAAGTATTAACGTATTAATGTTACACGAAGATCAAGTTTCAAAAGTGAAGCTTTAAGAAGCTTCTGAAACAGTCTACGATATTGTTTGTAATCCGTGTACAATTTAGACGGTTCGAGGGCTTGAACGCATGAATTTTCGAGATTCAAACCGTGAAAGCTAAATAGAATTTCCAAGCTGCAGATTCAAAGCTTATTTGACACACACGCAGCACACAAAGGAAGAGGACGATTCGAAATTAGCATTCCATATACCGAGGTCTCGAATCCTCTGCGTTCCTCGAATCTCGAAAACGCGAAACATAAATTTTTACGACTCGCCGATTTTACGAGCCGGTTTTATATTTTCCTCGGCAAAACTCGTGTGCAGTCGTGAAGTAGTACACCGTTTCGCGACAGATTTGGTTCTCGTATTCGCGAGTTCCCAGCTTCGTGACGAAACGACACGACGAAACGATTCGACGAGTCAAGTCGTTTCAATAGCGGAGAGAGTAGAAAAAAAAAAAAAAAGAAAAAAGAATACCAGAGTCAATTTTAGACGACTTTACGTAAAAAGAGAATCGAAACAGTGATATTTTTCATTCGCCCACTAGTACGTAATTAAAAGCACGTGACGCGACCCGAGTCATTTTTTCTTTTTTCATTTTCAAATCGAATTTATAACTCGATTGAAACTCGCAGATCGAGCTACGTGTGAAACTGTACGTTTGTTACGTATGAAAGTTCAAAAATCCCGCGCGGGGAGGGGGGAGGGGTGTGTGAACGCGGTTTCCATTCAGAATTTTAAAGAGCTGCGCCGCGAAAATGGAAGCTGCGTTCGCCATTCAAGGAATTGAAACGTGCACGGCTTGCACGGTAGTTTCACGACGTCACGTAGATTTCACCCTTTTGTTTTCCGCCGTGGTGCCTTGCGCACGTGCGTAATTGAAGAGAGAGAGAGAGAGAGCGCTCGTTAAGCTTTAGAACGCGTTCTAAATAGAAATGTAACGCGTGAAAACGAGGAAAGTACCATTCTTTTTTCTGATCTTCA